AACTAACTATATATATATATATATATATATATATATATATATAGGACAAATGCAAATTCCTACTTGTATATTGCATCAAAACAAATTTTTTCATTTTTTTTAATCTATGCAAAGACTACTCACAATAAAGAACAAAAATTACAATGGCGAATTTGAGCCAAAAGTTACGAAGGGAATTTAATCATGACTACAATTTCTTCAAGTATGGTCCTACTGCTTTCAAACTATGAGACTGCAATTACCCTGAAAAATTACTATAATTTGGTGAGTTTGGCTACTCAGTAAGTGATCATCATCGTCTTCAAAAATAATCATGGTTGCAAGATATAAAAACTATCAAAATGGAGGTTTATTAAAAACAAAGCGAGCAAAAATATTTATGGATAACAATTTCACTTTCAGAAATGCACAATTAAACATAATCCAAATTATTGAAATGCATATAAACATTTTAACAGAAATATATAACTAAAAGGATTTCATAAACTACCTTACTGGCATCCCAAGTAGGTCACCTATATACCCCACTAGTGTCCTAGATGGGTCCAAACAATCCATACGGATCCAAACATACCTCACCGGCATACCATATGAGTCCAAATATTCCCTACCGGTCTAACCAGATAGGTCTAAACAATCTCTGCAGGTCCAAACATACCTCACCGGCGTCCCGGATGAGTCCAAATAGTCCCTACAGGCATAACCGGATAAGTCATAACAATCCTTGTAGGTTCGATCGTACCTCATCGACATCCCGGATAAGTCTAAATAATCCCTACCGACATAACCGGATAGGTCCTAACAATCCCTGTAGGTCCGATCATAACTCACCAGCGTACCAGATGCGTCGAAATAATCCCTACCGGTATAACCGGATAGGTCCACTTTTACCTAAATTATCTATGAAACTCTTTTAACATCAGAAAGCATCAACATTATGTATGCAAAAGATCATTGAAATCATTAACAGGAGTTCACTTGAAGCAATTTAAGGAATCACTTTCATTGAAATAACTGTAAGTAACCAGTCAAACATTTTGACAATAATTTCTTAAAGGTAGCAGTTCTAAAGGACATTCTTTAAATCTAACATGATAATAATCTAGTATCAATAGCCTTATGAGAATCCAAAATTAAATATAGAATTATCACACTTTATAGAATTGCCAATTAGCAAATAATCATTTCATATGCAATACTACAATCAAGTGCATAAATATCAGTTTTTCAAATAATGAAGCAATCATTTGCACATAAATTTTACAATGTCTAAATATTCAAAATAGTATAAGGATATCTCACAATTTTACTAAAAGCGGAAATATCACATTTATTCTAATAATTTACAGTATCTAAAATTCTCAACACTAGACAGGAAAAATAAATTTATTTCTAAGAATTTACACCATTTAAAATTCCCAACAACAGATAAAATATCACAATTTTACTAAAAAGATTATTTTTCAAGACAATGAGGTCACTTACCGATAATATTTGAGAGGGAACTTTCAATAAAATTCGGCTAGAGAGAGAAAGGGCTTACTATGTTTCGACTAGAGAGAGAAAGGACTCACTGTGCTGGTCAGAGGGAGAGCTTATACAAAAGTTATGTAGGGTGAGATTCCTCACCTCTCCTATTTAAATTCTTAAGACACATTATTATACTATTTTATTAACCTCCACCTCATA